TTTTTTTTTCAAGGAAGAGACCTCAACTACAGATTTGATCATATGTGCAGACAAATGTCTTTGCGATTTCGAACGGATGTTAAATACAAGGTTTATCCAAATAACCCTTATCAAAAAGGTAGCTTTCTCTCGTTCAACTTTTCATCTTCATAAGTGAACTGTCATTATAATATTCTACAATCGCATTCGAAAGTGCAATGAAAATTTGATAGTTGACGACTCCCAGACAACAAATTTCATAGTACAAACAGATTAAACAATACTACAAAGGAGGTACAACAATGCCGCTTTCCTTCCTTTCCAAATATCGTTTTCTGAATTCCTCGATTTCTTCTGGGCCGTTGCGCTGTTTCAAGATCTCCTTCAGGCGAGCCAGGCGCACCTTCTTGTCCTCTTTATTCGGCTCTATCCGTTTCTTCAATGACTAAAAATCCAATATTTGAATTTGAAAGGCGAATCAAACAATTTTGCAAACTGGATATCGAAATCTTGCCAAGAAAAGGGAACCTGGAAAATTGACAAAAACTCACCTCTGTACTCTCCTTACGATCATTACTTATTCGCCGCTTATCCAGCTTCTGTTCAGTCTTTTCTCTTCTTCTCTTCTGGTAATGAACATCCTCGTTGTCAGAAGACGGTGGCGTGGGAGTGAATTGACGCTCTTTCAATTTCTCCGATTTCGTAGGAGCTTTCACTACCTATAATTGAGTATAGTTTTGAGTGAAGACCAGAGCTGGGTCTTGAATGAAGGACTAAAAAAGCTGGGCGGCCTGGGGGATGAAGTGCACTCAGTTTTCGGGATGCTTTCTCATACTCAGCCCCAACAAGGATACCAAACAACACCACAGGCACGCCCGAAACTTTACGAAGTTCAAATTTTCAGCTGCATGATCTATTGTGCCGCTGATTCAGATGCCAATTTTACAACTTGATAGCCAGTTGATAAAACTTCTTTTACTTTGTTCGGACTTTTCCTGAAGTTGTACCTGTCACTTTGTAAGCGCCATATGATCGCTAATAACCATGTTCCCGAACCTCTACAAGAACGTACAATGACTGGGTACTGGCTCCTTCCGATAAATCTATTATTGTGGTCAATAGTCTTCATATTTTCATAATACAGAGATCGAAATTTTGCAAAAGATTGCAAACAAACCCGGTTCAATCCTGGTTTCAACTCTCCCGGGAAATTTTTCTTCGGCGGTTCGAACTTAGGTTGACTGTCATCTTCATCGTCAGAATAGATCGATTTCTTTTTTACATTCTTCTTTTCCGAACTCTTTGCCACCACCTCTTCCTCCGATTCCTCATCTGACGACTGCTGATCGCTTACCTTTCTGCAACAAAAAAAAAGGAGATGGAACGACTGGGAACGAATTAAAACATAAACCACTTCACAGCACCTGCGCCTTATGTTGCGGATCTTTGTTTTACTCGCAGCGGCTTCCTTCGCAGATGTCGAAGCCCCCTCCTCGCCATGGTGAAGTGAGCCTTTTTCCATCAAACTTTGCTCTCCTCTGGCCAACTCATTCAACAGGGTACGTCCAAAACCTGCTTGCCATGCTTTCTGATGTTCCACTGAGGTGAGCTCTATAAAAAAATTTGGAGGGAGGGAGGGATCTTATACCGCTTCTGGAATATTCTGCCTCAAGCATATTCATAAACAATCCAACCTTAAATAAACATAAAGTAAAGGATGACAATGGAAAGAAGAAAACTTGATTTTTTTTAACTTAACAACAATGCACTTAATAAGCTATTACTTACCATTAAACCTCTTCTCATAAGCCTCTTCCTCACGGAATTTCTGAACCTCTTCCATCTGTTTTCGATATGCACCAGTCACGAAAACCTGGAACCCAGACTCTTAACTATAATGAGACCAAAAAACGATTTGCGGCTACCAGCACAACATAGAAAAACAACAAAATTTCATTCAGGTGAAGCAGGATTACCTCTTTATCAGCAAATTGGTCTCCCTCTTCTTGTCTTTCCTTCTGCTGCTGTCGCTCCTCTCGACTTTGTTGCTCTAATTCCCTTCTTTTGTGCGCTTTAATTATGTCCAATGCATACTTTGATTTCCGCTCTTTATCAGCCTTCTTCCGTTCAGCAATCTTAAACAGTAACCTTCATTAAGAGCGACAGAAAAGGGATGGAACCAAAACGAAACCCAACATTCGTGTAAAACATTCAAACACAGCGTACCTTTTCATCTCGAGCAGCCTGTATCTGTTCGTAGCTGGCATCGTAGTCGAATATAGTGGGATCTTCCGCAATCGCCATTTCTTGAAGCCGTTCAGCATGTTTTTGAACTCGTAATGTGGAAGCTGATTGAATTTTTCCGGAAACGTCGACCTGTAAGCAAGCATTTCAATTCAAAACAGCTAGGCATTACCCTTTTAAGGTGAGGGATGAGCTTCCAGATCCAAAAAGTGGTCTTGTTCAACATGGAACGAAAACACGATTTTCACCTCCTCACTACCAAACAGCGAACTCAATTTCCTGATAGTTTGTATACGAACTTTGAGCCCAAAACAGCACCCTAACATACTCGGCTCAATAAAAATGATTTAAATAAGAACATCAAGGGGACCAGTTTTTATTTGGGGAGGACAGGAAATCGAACACAGGAAGCGGACAATTACCTTTTCCGAATCATCGTCATCATCTGCGAAAACGCTGGCCACCGGTCGGATAACTGTCTTTTCCGTTTTCTTAGTTAAAATTAACCCATACTGCCTGAAAAGTAGTTGTGATATTCCTGTAATACTCATCGAAAATGGCGAAAATAATAACGATATCGAAGCTCGAAAAAATATCTTTCAAGAACAGACTCACTTTTTCTTAACATCAGTTGACATATTCCAATCCTACAGCAAAAGAAACCTTTGTAAGCATAGTATCATGAAAGTACAGAAGCTATCAGCAACAAGACAAGTAATGTTAGAAACGAACAAATCCAATACCAAATCTACTTCATCCCTCGTAACGATTTATTAAAACCTTCCAGATATATTACTATACAAACACCGAACACAGACCTTCATAACGCTCACTATGACAGAAGCACCCACAATTTTTCTTGTTAATAAAACTTCGAAACAACTACTGATTAGTTCGAGAATAAGTGAATATAGGAAAAATAATTGGCTATTCTACAAAAGGATATCAAAAACGACAAAAATTCTATATATTTGAGATTAGTAACAGCATATGCAAAACATTCAGTACGAAAACGTCAGAATTCCTTATTTAGAAAGGTAGGAAATGAGAAAGTTTGACTAAATACATGCTTCAGTACAGGCAAGAATAGAAACGGACATATCACATATCCAATAAATGCCGACTCCATTGCAACATTTTTGAGATTATGCACTGGGAAAGCAGAGAACCCAGAGAAAACGACAATCACAGGAAAAATAAAATTAGTTTCGAAATTCGAGTGAGCGAGGAAAATTGGATTTGACGTTTGACTCACCAAATGACCAACAAAGAGTTAAATACATCTGGCATGTAGGAACTGCGAACAAAAAATCTTATTTTGAAAAGGAAGAAAACAACAAAATCATATTTCGACCAGTATCTTGGAAATAATTGCAAAGTAGCTACTCGAGACCAAGAATATGATTGAGACCTTGTACAAAGGTTACTATCAATGGCTGCCAACAGACTAGATATCGAATCCAATCCAAGAGCTGCCCATAAAAGAGATGCGGTTTCTCCCAGCTGCAAAACCAATACGATTAACTCTTTGGGAACAAATTGAAAACACCAATCAGCTCAGAAATTAAACATGACAATAAAGACGTCAAGGAAACTCACGGGTTTTTGAACATCCTCTTCAAGTCCACTTTTTCTTTACAGTAGGGGCACGTTTGCAGTTTTCCAACGACTACCCAACCACGGATACAAAATTCGTGAAATATATGTCCACATGATAATCTGAAAAAAAACTAAATTTGAAAACCGAGCAGCTGCGAAATTAAGCAACCATTAACATGAGAAAGAGCACAATCCAGCCAGCATGTTAAATATCGACTTCATTCTTGCTTTGTCGCAACAAAATGGTTAGACAAGAACGAGAAGGAAGGCATTGTTTACAAAATACGATGAAAGCGCATATGTCCGGATAGATTTAAATCGCCGCCCAAGGCAAACCATTAAGGAGAAACAAACAAAGGCGTACTTGTAGGTTTTTTCCTCCTCTGCATCCTCATCTTCGCCATGGATGACAGTTTCTGTATGTAAGCGATTATCACAAACAGCACATACACCATCGTCCAAGTGCTTTTTCGGAAGGCCGTCATGGGTGAAATACTGAAAAGAAAAACCAGCGAGATTATCCTTAAGTCGAAAGGGTAATAGAAAACACACCCCAATTTTGCATGCCATCCGATCTGTGCAGATGTGAGCAAAGTCGCGACCAAGAACTCCATAATACAGACCATAGAAGAGCAATAATATGCCTGGAATACGAGGGCAAGAATTAACGTAGGATTTGAAGCTTTCATGGAAATTCAAACATTTGTTTTTGATATTCTGAACGCAAAAATTCGTGATTAACTTAAAAATTCCTCTTCCACATGTAATTTGCGGCAAATGCAGACCAAGATAGGCTATTTACCTGTGTCCATACATGTTGTAGACTGCAAACCAAAGATAAAGTTAAGACCCATTAGCGTGAATATCATTATAATATATCCTGCGATTCCTAACACGTAGCTTAGCTTGTGCAGGAAAAGGAACCACTTGTAGACTAACCTGAAAAATGAATTTGAATTCTAGCCTACAAACAGATAGGAGCAGAAAGTTAAGATCGCCTAAGCGACAGAGTTCAAACTCACCAATAGTCCCTCAGACAACCTTCCCCGGGATACGCATAACCCTCGCTTTAGGGCTTCCTATCTGTGACTTCATTCTGATTTATTCTCGAACTATGCTTACGACTTCCTGGAGCGCTATCGATACTGCTTCTATGACGCGTAATATAGCGACTATTTCCTCGACATGTGTTTCCTTACAAACCGCACTCCACAGCCCATACCCGAAACACTACCCATATCACTGACACAGCGGTTAATCTGCATTACCGACTGCAGGCTCACCTTGGTGTAGTTCCACTTATGTGATCCTCTGTAGATTTTCGCCAAATCCATGTCGAACAAATGGTGTAGATGACCCAAGTTACTAGGAATCTGTACCAGCTGCGCGTAATGCACACATATACAGGTATTAACCACATCCCCAAAAGAGTACATAACTGAAAAAAATCGACATGACTGTATCAGGAAAGGCACAAAGTAAGGCAAATCCGAGAGCAACATGCCTGATATGATTTAAAATGCCGCTTCTTCCATTGGACTAGGAATACTTGAGCGACAACCAAGGTGACTATAAGAATGAGCATCATTTCCAGATGCATCGCCTCGTGCCCACGGTGTTTTTCGTGTAACTTAGCATGCTCTATTTGCCATTCCTCCTGTTCTGTGAGAGCCCGTTTCACCTACGAAATGAAACTTTACAAAGCATAAACTTTGTATCCGATTACCATATTTAAACAAGCTAGTTACCACTTCCTACCTCTGGGGGTATGTCATTCTGCAAATGCACGCCACCGAAGCTATCGTGGTGAAAACGGACAACGTTCTCGTCACCGTTCTCCATGTATGGCACGAATTCCTGGAAAAGTCTCTACAGAACGGAGAACTGAAGAGCCTGAATCTTGTCAAGTAGGGCTACAGTAATGATCTCGAGTAAGAAAAATGGGGTAGACATCAAACGGTAATGTAAACAAACAACAATCCAAAATGGTGCTCAGGATAATCGAACTAACTTGAGTGAAGACTATTTTTCAGAAATGCCCATTCAGTTTCCTTACTGTTTAGGAATGAGAGCGGAGAATAAATAAAAACTTCGAGCCATTTCTCTCGAATGATGCATAAAAACAACTGATTACAAAGTTTGCCTCAGAAGGGAACTACCAAAAAATTTCCTCACGCCATCACCCCATCAGGAAATGGACCCCTCACTAAGAGAGAATGCGGGTTGCAGAAGTATGCAGGTGCTGAGCACAGAACCCTTAGAATGTTAAAAAGAACGTGAATATGTATAGGCAGCTGTTCATGTTTTATGACATCTGGGAGACCCTTGAAATAAAGAAAAGCTCTAGGTCAGCCTGCCGATGGAGCACGGCGATAGGAATAAGGAAAAAGGGAAGTATAGGGATCAAATAAGAAGAATAGATTAACACATGGTGTGTACGAGAGAGGGCGGTTTCTATAGCAGAAAACTGCCTACAAAAACTGGTTGCCATAACATTCACATCTCCATTTATCACTTTTTAAGCCGTTGTCTTTGCATGGATGCCCTTGAACGATGATCGTAACCATCGAAAGGTCACCTCTTCAAAAAAAACCCCTATTGAACCCAAAACGTATAACCATTTTGTTGGACATCATTGCAAACCACCTGGGTAATGATTATCCTTTACAGGATTGGAAATGTAAACCAAGAAAGTACCATAGCTCCTAAACCTATGTCTTCCCTAATATCCACAGATAAGACAGATTTCTGCACAATGCAGACTTAGTAGTACAGAAAACATCTGAAAGATTTGAAAGCATCACTTAAAGTTGAGTTATGAGTCAAAAAATCAGTAGGTACATAAAGCCTTCCAACCACGCCCATTACCCAACCCACATGGCAACTATTTCACTTATTTGAATACTTAAGCAAACGAAGAATTGAAGCGAAGTACGTGAACGAAATAAAGGAAACGACCCCGTGGCCGATGTTTATTGATAAAAACAAAAATTACTCTAGAACAGTACATTAGAAGACAATTGCAAAGGGTGCATTTAGCGTTGCTTGTGGTGTTGTTAGGTGGAAAGCGGCTTTTGGCTAGTTTTTGACCTCAATTTCGACGGTGTCCTCCCCAGAACTTGCCCGTGGCATTCGGTATCCTTTTCCAGTTCTATCTCACACATATTCCTTTTGTCATGCCTTCCTGATTACTTGGGAAGGGTTCTGCGATTACGTCCTTATCAATTATATTCAATAATTTAGCGAAATTTAGTTTTACCTCAGGCAAGGTCCTTGGAATGGATGAAAATGTGAAGCAGGATCAAGGCCCATCTGCACAACCCACATCCGATAAGCCTGGACCCTCAAAAAAGGAAGAAGACAATGCAAGGTGTGCCATTTTTGCTTCTACATTTATTCCTTATGAAATTAGTTAGTTAGCAATTAATTTGATTGAGATTTCTGATAATCTCCGGCTGTGTGTAGTAACATCATATGTGTCGATCTGTACCAAATCTACTATCCCACAGGCTTTCCGATCTTATTTTGAGCGTAGGCTGTGCTGTCTATAATTACGTGGCTTAAGGGTGGGACAGTGGAAAATCGAAATCGATTCTGCCTTTCGTAACGCTTTTCATAGTTTTTTATGATTCAAACGACAGACGCCGATAATAAGGGAAGCATATCCTATTGTTTCCGTCTGCAGGTTGAACAGAGGTGATAGCTGCTTCTCCACGTCAGTGGGCTGTGTATTAACGCCCACATGTTGTGTAGCACATGACACGAGTTCGCCTTATTGAATGCAGGGAACAACTTATGATGAACTCGCGAAACGAGGCGATGATGTGGTAGTGTTAATGCTGTTCAAAGCATATGATATAGCTAGAAGAAGTAGCACCGTTGCTGGCGCTTATTTATTTGTTTATTTATTTATGCACTCCACTGAGTGCGCACAACTAGAAGCAAATAAACCACCCGCTGCCACTGTACATTGTGAGATTATGAAGAGAGCGAGGACAGGAATACCGGTGAGTATCAATCTCCAGAAGCTGCGCAGATAGTGAGTACCACGAAGATGCTCCATAGCCAGTAACCGCACCAGTTGGCCATGGTATTTGATGCCCCAACAATTAGATGATCTTCAATGATGGAAAATAGTTCAATTCGATTTGGTAAAATCGGCCGGGAAGATCTTGAAGTCGAGCTATTGTGACGTCCGCTTACGTGCATTTGTTGGTAACTGATCTTTATGTAATTGAAAAAATATACCGGATGATGAAAAATAGGATACCTTGAGAAATTTTGGGCCCTATCAAGAAACTAGGAGGAGAATTTGTTGGGTTCTCTAACCCGTGGTTCTAAGGTTTTCGAAACGACATGTGTATAAAAAAATATTTGACTCAGTGAATGTAGTTAGCGTAATATAATAAGAGGGAAGCCGCGTGGTCGGCTTAACGTAATTAACCTCTGATGGTGGGCATTGTGATGAGGGTTTTTCAAATCTTCTAACTTTACTAGTTTCATACCTATACTTTTCTATTTTTTGTATTTCCTTAAAAACGGATTAATATACCTCTTCTTCTTTTTCTTGCATTTTCCAAATACAAGGTTTTCCATTATCGGTAAATAGTATGCTTCTGACTCACAGATTCGAATGCAATATTTGTTTGGATACGGCAAAGGATGCTGTGGTTTCCATGTGTGGCCACTTGTTTTGCTGGCCTTGTCTTGTGCAATGGCTAGACACGAGACCAAATCGCCAGCTTTGCCCCGTTTGCAAAGCTGCTATCAGTAAGGATAAGGTTTGTTAATTCTTTCTTGATCACTCGTTTTTTCTTACACGACTTTTACTTCCGCTGTTGAGCATTCTGAGCAGTGTGAAACCATGATTGCTATGTAACATAGTATATTTAAGGTGATTCCACTGTATGGTCGAGGAGGCGATAATACTGATCCTCGCGAGAAATTACCACCTCGTCCCAGGGGTCAACGGACTGAGGCGCCTCAAGTAAGTCTTTGCACTATCTTGTTACAATTCGATTTTTGAGCTTCGAGTCTGGGCTGTTAATTTTTTTTAAAGATCTAAACATAGCACTCCTTCAATAAAATCTATGCTACGGTTAGGTTGTCAGTTAATTTTTTTACTTGAGGAATACTTGGTTAATAATAAAATATTGTCCCAGAGTTGTGCTTATGGCCTGCTAAAGTATCATTTCAACTAATAGTGCTATTTTACACCATCAAACGGTCATATGATTACTTAATTCATAACTACTTGGGTTTACCGATTTCGGAATCACGAAAACCCCCTTGAAGGAAAAGGAATGAGTCATCTCCTTCCTTGTTGTGAAAGACGCCATGGGTTCTTCTGTTCTTACATCCTGTCGGTCCTAGCAGTTACCTCTTTCCACCCCTGACTTGAAACTTGTACTGCCGTTGCAATATCAAATATAAATTTCATTTCAGCAGGGTTTTCCTGGATTTCAATGGGGTGATGGTGGACCAGGTGGTGGCGTGCAGTTCTCATTAGGGATTGGTGAGTACAGAGTGTTTATTGGAACTCTTGGCGCAATCAGTCGATTATTATTGATTCTTGCAAAGCTGTATTTTCCTTTGTTTTTTTGTGACTTGAGCGTGCCTGATTTCAGCATTTGAGCAGCACAAAGTTTGAAATTGCGAGGGGCACCCCCTCAGAGCCTTTGGAACTGTATCGAAGATGCATTCGTTTTGGCTTTATGATTTTTTTATTCACGTTTGAATCTTAAGGCGTTTTTCCCCTGTCTTTCTTCACTACATGGTTCAACGCGCCGCAAGATCCACGTCCAGCAGCTCCTCAACAAGGTTCTCGCCAGCATCAGGAAGAGCAGTTTCTTTCCAACATGTTCTTGTATCTTGGAGTCTTCTTCGTTTTATGGCTTGTATTCGTATAGAGTCATTGCTGCACAAATAATTCATGTGATCATTCCATCTGTAGACTTCCGAATTCGAAAACATTTGCTGAATTCATTGTTCGACATCTTACATACGTGCACTGGTCTATATCGGGTATTCATTTTTGAATATCTCCAGTCAGATCAGTCCTAACTCTTTTTTTTCAATCGATTATTGAGTAAGCTGTGGCGTATGCATCCATTATCCTAACTCATGGAAGTTGTGTACTGTACTGAAGATAACCCGTGTGCCTATGGATAATTATGTCACTCGCAATTTTCGCACTATTCTTTCTTTCTGTATAGCTTTTATTTCCACTAAAATGCATCTACAGAATTTTTATGGTACTCATTTGAGCATCAGATCTTTAGCCTAACTTAAACCTCAAAAATAAATCCTATCTGTCATGAATGCGCTTTGAACAATCAGTTCTTTAAGGACCAATGGTTTTCGGTGAGGAAGAGTTCGATTTCGAAAGTTGATGATTTTTGGAACCACGAGGATCTTTTCACACACCGTCGTAAAAGAAGCAATAAAATGAAACCGCGCCGAATTCCTGCTTATCTGCGCTCAATCGAATTCAGTAACAATCTTGAAATTCAGAAAGACCGTCTCCAGTTGAAGCTTCTCAATATTTCTTCGGTGAGAGGGCACGGCCTGATCTTGTCGGCTACCCCTTCTGGAATACGCTAGCTAAGCCCATTGGAGCTCTCTCCTTGTGCGCCCCCTGTACTCCGATCATGCATCTTTTTAAACAATCACTCCGGAAACCTCTGAGAATGGTAACATTCATTTCTCTGGCTCAAAAATTAGTCAAAGCTGAACAGAGGACTATCAACATTCCTTCCTTAACCTGTTTTTCTACCCCTTACGTTTAACTGAAGTTTGGTCCATGAAGGGTCACAACAATAAATAAAGCAATGAATGCTTCATAATCAATATAATATCAAATTACTCACAATATAGCTTGAAGTAAATCCGAAAGACAGAAATTCTCTGTTGGCACCGAGTTGGTTACTATCCCCTGTATTACTTTGCCATTACAAAATAAACAACAATACTCACAACCCCAACAATTACGGATAGAGCTATTAGGAGAGAGAATATGTGGGTGTTATCGTCCTCTTTCGATCTCAAATTGGCGATTGGTGTGTCATCAAGAGGAGCACGTATCGTCTCCATCTCCTCTATCTCTAGGCTTCGCTCCCAGCCTTCATCGATGTGTTCTGAAACAATATTCCTAGACACTGGCAGATCCTGTTTTCCACTCCCTGATTGAGAGAGCTCAAAATACTGAGAAGCTGAAATCCATCGATTCAAGTGGGCCAAAATAGAAAATGCCAACATTAAGTTACGATTAAAAATTAGAATAAGACTTCGATTTTCTTCGCATAGTAGTAGGTAGCGAAATGAGCCAGCTACCGCCTTCGAGCAAGGCTATCACAACAAACAGATCATGAAGCTTAATATAGGTTACGCAGATTCTGAGTAGAATCTTCCTTTGTGTGAAGTTTGACAGATTTCAGCAGGGGCGAAATTCATGGCATTCAATGTAACCGCACTTAAATCTCAGTTTTCAAAGATTGCTTAGGGTTGCTGTTCATAATTTCTGTTCACGGCGTGATGAAAAATTCCAACTCTTACAATCACAAATGATGTGGCTTCGTGGACGAATATGCCCCTAAATTAGTTCGGTCGCAAGAGAGCAAACCCATTCAAAGAGGAACCCATCTCACGCCCCAATCAATCTCCGGACGGGAATACATTTTTTCCATCACCGGCTGTTGATGTTTGTTCCTTAGGGCAGGTGCAGCATAACACATGATCACGTGAGCGACAGTTGTGTCGTTATTGGCGACGAAACTACATCCAGTTTTCGCCAGTTCAGGCTCAATTTCAAAGGGAAAACCGTTTCCGAAGCTCTTTTATTCTCATTCCAATCTCCTTATTTCGGTAATCCTCCGTTGGGCAGCGGGCCTGAGAAGAGTGCAATGTTATTCTACCACCCGCAGGCGGAATATTAGCAATACTCTCGCGCTCACGTGGATGAGCAGTGGCCAAGGAGTAAACACCCTTCTTGTATCAAACCGAGAAGAATAGCACGGGGTGATCTTTGAATAATGAAACTATAATACGTTGATACAGAGTACTCCTCGAGAAGTCAGGAAACAAATACTTTGGCCCTGTACTATATCGATGCGCCATTCATTAAAACTTGAATTAAAAACATTTGAAGGAGGAGGAAATAAAATGACTTTCAATGTTAAGAAACTCACCTATAGATGTTTTGAGCCCAAGCAACTCATCAAAATTCTTCTGTGCGTCTTCAACGGTATCAGCTTCGAACAGGTAATCCGATAACAAAATGGCTGGGTGAGTATAAAGGATCGTGGTAGCGGGTCGAGGCATTTGATGCACAGAGCACGGAGCTGCACTACCTTCTTCAACTACGTCCATTGATTCGTATTGTAACTCTTTAAAAAATCGGAAATGTAATTTTTTTCGGTAAAAAATTATTTTAAGAAAGGTTTCTCACCTGCTCGTGCGGTCAAGCTCCTAATAAGATGATGTTTAACAGCGGTAATAGCTGACCCGACATTTGATTTAGCTGGAACCGCTGCTCGAATCTGAATTTGATGATAAGAACGAAAAAACACAAACAATAGCAACCATTCTGACTAAATCTCAACCGCAATTACGAATCGCGCATAACAGCTTTCTTTTCCACGACCTGAAGAGGCGAGGAAGTTGCGGATATTGCTTTTGCCATTTGATTCGTATTTCCATATTTGTAGCGATAAAATCGCTCATCCCCAAAAAGGGTTGTTCGAAGTCTTATTCTTAAAACCTGGGAAAAAGGCTAACACAAACTCATTGTAGAAGACCTATTGACATAAAAAATGAGAGCAAACAATCCATAGCCGTGTCCCGTGACCCTGCGGGAATGAAGAAATTCCATTAACTACCACAATGTTGCACGGAAATCTACTACCCACTTTTGGCATAACGGCTATGATATACTTCATTCATGGGCAATTCTCAAGGAGCCACAGAGACGTTTCACATAAAGAAGAGCAAGTCAACGCTTAATGCTAAACGTGACTAGATCTCAGGAACTAAGGCAATCTCGTCGCGTATCTTCGCTTCCTGATGATATTCACTGTCTTAAAACAGCGAATTGACAGGCCTGTTCAAAATATTCAGGTGAGCTTTTTGGAGATTCTTGTTTTTAGCTCCAGAGGTCTAGAATCGTAATCGAAACTGCGCATTGCATTCTCATGTTTCCCAGTACAACCCTTCTATGAGAATGGGCTATCCTGACGGCTGAATCAATACCTGACTCAGAATAACGTTCGCGAAATATTTGTTTTCGGTCCACTTTCAGTGTTGTTTTGTTCTCGCCTCCTTAAGTGACCCTGGAGGGCCTAAGGGCAAATTGGACAAAAGTGTTCAGAGAACTATAACTTTTACACAACCCACCTCTATATCAAAGGACACCTCATGCAAGTTCGTAGCTACTTGCGGCTCACAAGAATTCTCCTTGTTCTCTGGAACATCTGACGCATCTTTAAATAACTGCACAGAAGGTACAGAATAAAGATTTCCGAGTTTAACACAGGAGAAATGGTAATTTCGCACAAAAGATCCTATCGCTTTTCTCAGATCAGAAGGATCAAACGAAGTTCTTGGATATAGGGTAGAAATCCACCAATGGTGACACGATCACCGTGATCCAGTCATCTATGAAAAGTGCAGAATAGCTAGTTAGCTTCGTAGTAGTTCGAACATCATCAACTTTGGAAAAAAAGTGGTTAGAACACTTCACGGAATATTCTAGAACCTACCACTAGTGTCGACAAACAACTGCACATCTATTGTATCCACTTTCTTCTTTTTTACGTCTTTGAAAAGCAGCTCAGACTCGTTTCGCATTTCCCCATTGACCAAAGCCTTCAAGCAGTTCATTTTATGTGATGTACAACAAACAGAATATGAGTTTACTCTTGAATTAACTGGTTTTTCTCAGTGCTATGCCGCTATGCCGATTGATAATAAAGTATTCGAAACGCCCCTCCCCCTTCCTCCTCTTCAAAAAACCTCTAAGACAATTTCCTAAGCTGATAAAAAAATGGTTGCAGCCAGGGACTCCGAACAAGTTGCTTAACCTGTTAAACCTATCATTTATGACCAAAGCAAAGAAAGGTTGAAATATGGGACACTCATGATTGCTCATGACAACGAAAATTGGAATTGGGCGGTCTTGGGCCACCGATCGGACAAACCAATTTCTAAGCCACATGCACATTATCTTAAAGAGGTCTCTCTAGTACCTCTAGAGGTCAAATTCTTCAAAAAATGTGACGATGCGAAGTCATAGTATCACTTCGAAGAAAGTAGACTTACCAATGGACAACTCAACAGATTTTCTGCGAAAGGTCTTATTGCAGCCACGAATTCCGTGAAGAAGTGGGAGTGCTTCTGTCGCGTTGGCACATTCAAACAAACTTTTGCGGAGGCACTTGACACAACTGGTATCCAGTCTAGCTTGAAATATATGGATAAGAATACAAATTAGAAACCTGGTGCACGAAAACTGTATGGTGGCCATTTAAGGCCGATGACAACTGCTTTAAACAGTCTACAGAAAACCTGGACGATTTATCTTCTGCTTGAATGAATACTAATGAATGACGTCTATTACTCCCTCACCGCGGAAAAAGACACTTTCGTTGGAGAATCTGGACCGCGCCGTACAACGTCAATAACTAAGCCCGTTGGTTTACCGGCTGGAGGTTCAACGAAAATTAGAGCCTAGAAAGAATTTTATGAATCGTAACAAAAAAATGAAGAGACATGTAGGGTTTACCATTTGGTCAGATACAGAATTGATGCTTAAAGTGGTGAGCAAATTTGTTGTCCGTTGAATCCGTGCCAATGATCGTGTAATCATTGCTTTTTGAAGATTATAAGTGCTCCGATCGGAAAACCATGCTAGACCTGAATTTTTACCCTTTAAGTATTGTATTTCACAAAGGCACCGATCAAAACGCTTACCAACAATATGAATTCCACCAGGCAGAATCCTTGTCACTTTTTCAGCATTGTCAGCGATCCACTCATCATCTAGTGATTTGCTCAATGCATCGCCACTCTGCAACCGTTTTGTAATGTTAGAGAACAGGAAAGAGGACCACTGCGTTAGGTGTTGGCTAAACAAGCTCACGAGCTCTCAGCTAACTTGACCATGACATGGGAGGGATGCCAAATTCGAACTCACAGGGTAAAACTAATGAGCTATAAGAATATCCTGACGCTCGCTAGTTTCTATTCGAAGGTGAGAAACACCCCAGGGTTTGGAAACGTACGATCAGCTCAGTTGTTCAACATGATGTAACGATTACTTTACCTCATTTGGGAAGCGCTAGCGATTTTTCATTACCTAGAGAGCTCACAGGACATCACAACCTTTCTATCAATCTTTAGGAGCGGTTGCATGACTCAGAGATCTTCCCCATGTTGATTTCTCTAGCCAGTTTCAAGTAAGTCTTTGATCCTGATGACTAACTTAGCAAAAATCAGTAGAAATCAGTCATGCACGAGCTACTCATTAGTAGACGTACGTGCTTAAGGAAACTAGCTGCAGTAGAAAAGAAAACCCATCATAGAACACAGTTCTTACAGTAACCCTGCTGTGGGTCCAGGCTCGAACGCCTGTGGTCCGACGGAACGCGGCAAGGCGGCCAACCCGAGCACCTGTCTTGTATCTTTGCACGGCTTTTTTTCGATGTCTCGTATAAGTGAGGGGATTAGGATATGAATGTTCAAATGGGGCTATGTCCTAGAATTAAGAAGTTCGGAATAACTTACAGAATCAGTAGCAGATGCTGGCAATGGACACATGGCCATATGGGCGACATGGATATCTCCGTCCGAACAAAATGATCCAATTAGAAAATAAGCGGCCGATGTTGCTAGATGTTCCTTTCGTTGCTGGGACTTTTGAGCTGTATCGATGACTGACTCCAGACAACGATCGAGCAGGATCATTTGTTCTGAAAGGTCGATTGCTACCACCATCAGGTCTCGTGTAGAAAGGACAGCGATTCATTACTAGCGGCTCAAAGGCAATCATTTTGTTGTTACTATGGCAACAATCGCGTTTCTTAACTCTGGGTAGTTCTAGCTTGTTATACAGATTCTAAGAATGTATTGGACAATTAGTTGGTGCTATCAAAAACATGATCGTTGCCTTTCCACTCATTGAAATTTAAAACGAGGAAAATTCATTAGAACTAACTCTCGGCAAATAGGGAGGAACTGACCTCTCCCATATCTATTCACTAAAAAAATTAAAAGTAACCTCGTAAAAAAGCTGGGAATACAAGGGAAAAATTGGAAAAAACACGGAATACAGTGCAGTTACTGTAATAAAAATGTGCGAGTCGTAATTGCGGACTCAGATAACACTGCGCTTGCTTCACTACTGGTAAATAACTAGAGCAAAATATTCTTTTGGTTTGCTTGCAGTAATCAGATTTATTTAGCAAAAGCATCAATTTTGACCTGCAGTTTTTGAACTCTTTGTAATGAGCACAGGCAAATGTCCTTTATTAGAACATTGGCCGCTAATTCAATAAAAAAGATCCTGCTCAAGAATCTGAGGCTATGGTGTCAGGTCATTTTCGCGAATTTGATTATATATGCAGGCTCTTTCGTGGCGAACTGCCCCTGACAGGGCGCGTTCATAGTACCTACGTCCTGACGCAGATATAAGCGTCAACAAGCAGATATGGGCGTTAAGACGCGGATATTCGTGTTTTGACGGATGTAACTGCGTCTTGGCGCCCATGACTACGTTTTATATACCTTTCTTTTGACCATATCTGCTTTGAAATTGCACATATCTGCGTTTTAACGCTCACATCTGCGTCAGGACGCAGGCACTATAAATGCGTCCACTGTCTCTTAATATCGGTTCTTTAGTATAATGCGTCACGTGCCTGTTAAAATGGTAATTGAAGGTAACAGACTGAGGTTGAAGACTCGGCTATAAGTGCAACAGAGCCCTTCCTTGAACCTTCTGACCGCCTGGGTGTGCTTTTCACAATATATTTTTTAATGCCCTTCAAAACAGCGGATAGGTTAGGGAGTTCACTAAGGCCTGGAATAGAAGCATCTACGAGAGGGATAACCAGAGGGTTGTACTTGTATGGCCACGTCACCAGCTGTAAATCAAGTTGGGATGGTCGATCATCTGTGAAGGGCGGCTAAAGATTTCGAAGTCTACTGATTTTGTAGTACTGTAACTTCTTCATAAACATAGGTGAGACACCAGTTTTCTGAAGTAAAACTGCCTCTGATACCGCCAGATGAAGAAAGGACCGCGCCAGACGGAAAGGGTTGTGTCTGGTACTTGGAGGAGAGAAGTGTTGCTAAGCGTGTTTGCCACCGTCTGCTGGATTACTCTATCAAAGGGACCGCGGAACATGAGGTCTGGCCACACGATACTCGTATTGTATTAGGCTGCTTACAAGAGTTTACTTGTATCGACACTGTATAACTCTAGCTTCCGCTGAAGTCCCTAATTACCCGTACAGCGATGAAAGCTTAGATCGCAAGGGACGAGTTATACTCCCGTCGGGTGCGTTATAGATGAGAGAGATCAGACGGCTATACAATGCGTCCAAAAGCAGATAAAGTCATCTTTTCCAGTTTTCTTGGTCTAAAACAAGTTCTTTTATAAGATTGAGCTTCCTTGAAGTGTAGGTGTCATCCCTGTTTAACTTCTGCTCTATTAATATGAAGGTTATCTAGGCTCATGTTCATGCTGAGTTCCGATCCCATTACAGAGCCACCTCCGAAGAACTGTTCTCGATGTAAGCTCCAGACGGAAAAGCTCAACAACTCTGTCTTCTAAAATTTACACAGTCACAATGTGGTCTGCAAGAAACGCTGAGTCACCGTCTAAGTAGACGGCACGGTCAATAAAATCCTTGAAGTTTCTGGAAAGCTTTTTAAGGGAAGGAAAACTATTCCAGATTCAGAATCCTACCGTAACCTACCCCATTGCGCTGGGTACCAAATACGTGTGATTTGGCGAGATTTTACGATCAGTAGCTGTATAAAGCTGTTGTAAAACTACGTTAGGAGCTCGGGCTCGTCCCATTTTTTCAACATTGACCGTATTTTTTTCCTTTTGGGAGAACCACTGAGTACAGTGAACTATAATGATGTATTTTTTCTTTGTTCCCAGAACATCTCGCATTGTTCTTCTCCTTAACTGAGTAGATCGCCGTTAATCAGATAAAGTTCGAGCCCCATTGAGCTAAGTGGGATTACGATGACGACGATGGCGACCGTTGGAGGTAACACAGCGATCAGCAAGTCGACGGATCGATTGATCAATAACCAAGGTCAGTGCAACAGATGACCGCTTTCGCGCGCGCACCCGCCGCCCGCATTCCCCCTCGTCGGTACCCATGCCTCTCTGCGTTGCGTCCACTTCTGTGCTTCTTCCTCCGTCTGTCCCCACAACCGATTTCACCAATGCCATTTCCGTTGTAACAGAGCTACTTCACTACTAGAAGTACCCTAATCGCCTTGTGTACTCATTTTGGGCGTTTAGAATGGGAGCGCCAAATACCCACGCAACAACCCATAGTACGAAGTTCTTCGTTCTTCTACCTGGATCGATGAAGAACTCTTGAAATCACTCAAAGCCGGTAAGATGGGTCCAAAACCCCTGCAAGTCTAAAGGAAACCTTGCACATCGAGGCGAAGGGTCTCGAAGCGATGTAGTGATAAGAAGACGACCCTTTAAAGAAAGCTTGGTTAACCGTTGTAAGTATTCCATGACGAGTTTTACTCACCGTCGATCATCATTGATCGGAAGAATTTTGGGGTTTTTCTTATCCTTCGTCGTCTAATCTAGCGGAACTATTCTTTGAATTTCTAGGAGGCAAAAGTACAAGGCCTGATCTATTGGTTTGATTTCCACATGTACCTTGATACTTCTTCTTGATAGTCTTACTATATGGTTAATAAATGCCTTTCTAGAGTTTGTTTGGACTTTACCCGACTAGTTTCAGCTGGATTTATGAATTATAGTCGTGTTTTGAATCAACGCACAGGCATTCGTTATTACAAACCTGATCGATTTCCGTTCGCCTTTTTTTCGGGTTTATCGATGAAATGCACTTTTTTGTGTCTTCTTAGCAAGTAGTTTTTGCCACTCTTTTTCTCAGTGAAACCATTTGAGCATGTAGTGTAGTTAGAATCCTTCCATGTGTCAAGTATATGGGACTCGTACTCCAACTGGTTGCAGTACGATCCCTACTGCGTTGATTGGTAACTTGTACAAGGCTACTGCAAAATGTTTTTACGAATACCTTGGCGGCACATTCACGTCAACCGGTTCGGCGACTGCTGTATTTTCTTGGCTCTGCTGTTTGATATACTGTAAAATATATGTTTTGCTTAGTGAAGTCACCTTAAATCCGTCAAAAATTGTTTAGCTGGTCTGAAATAAGGCAAATATCCCAGGCTGGAAGGTTTTTATAGCTTGGAAATTGGTTTGGGAGCGTAGGATTGTCCTGGTTGGAATAAGGATTTAATGCCACCAGTGGAATGTCATGAACGAAGTGCATATTCTTTTTTTTCCAAGGACTTTCGTAGTGCAGTTTTTTTCCTTTCCGATTTCTTTTGCAGGACCTGAGGATAACTAGTAGAAAGCAATTGTGACGTAGAACTTTTATGCCTCAGTTGGCATTTTGTTAAATTTCCTAGCAACCCATTTTTAATTGATAACATTCAGAAAGATTTTCATTTTAAAAATTATTTGAATGTTCAGTAAGTTTAGGGCGGAACGCACAAAGGCGTCCAGGCGTTGATCCTCAATGGCAGAAGTGTGTCGTTCTAGCGCTGTGCCTGGCTCGCGGCCAGCTATCGATCCGCCTAGCTGTTTTTAATGTTTAGAACACCTGAGCCGATGAGAGTGCAGCCGCTTTTAGAACGTTTGTAAGACTTACCCGCGCTTCGACCTTGGCTGCGTAGAGTTCCTTGGTTTGGGCGCTGTGAACCCGGGTGTGAAAATGAGTCAGCAGCGTTTGTGGAGTTGCCCCCGTTGTCGTGCCGCTGCTGATCATGCGAAGCTGACGAGCGCAACCGACCACCGGCCGTGTGGTCAGGCTATCGATCTCTCGCTCGCCTGCACCACCTCGTCTAGCTTCCCCGCCACTACCACCTTCTTCAGCCTGTGCTTATGCTCTTCAGTTATAGCGATAGCATTTCGTACTACTCTACGAGTATTGATTGTTATGTTGTTTGTGTTGTGGTTGCTGGCTGGCGTCCGCGATCGCCTAGTCTATAGTTGTGTGTGTGTTATAGTGTGCACACATTAAGCACTCGTTCGATTTCTGCCCACTTCTCGCGCGAATTTCTTCAGCGGACATCACGTAACCACTCATTTCTCTGCTACTTCCTATTTTATATCGATATTTTCTGGTAGTAAGGCCCTGTAGGAACATCATTTTGCACTAACATAATCGAGTCATTCTCTCAGCAAGAACTTTTTTATTTCTGAGTTGCAGATCTTTTAAGTTCACCGTCCCATAGGTGTTTCACATGTTTGTCTTGAACGCGTGATTTTTTGTCTGAAATTGCTTTGATTCCTACAAACCGGTTTTGCTATTTTTTCAGGTGGAACGCAATTCTTAGGCACCGAGTGGTTTTGGTCTGCAGGTATATTTAGTTCCCGCTTCGCACATGGATTACTATCAGCAGGCTCGACCACAGGCGTCCGCTGCGCAGCCCACGCACCAGTATGTGCAGTACTCTGCGCAGGTAGTTTTTTAGCCATTTCCCTAACTCTTTGAACTGTCTTTATTCTGCTTTTTTCATTGCTGACGGCTTTTTTCTACTAATCCTCAATTTCAAAGAAATCGAACTATTCCCTGAACTCTATTCATAGATATTATGAGAAAAATTTGCCTCCGTTGCATAGTTACCCATTTTATCGAGAAGGTCATCCCATTATTACTCAAAGCTCGTTTTGCCACCAGTTTCCAATCGATAGTTTTATTGGAAAGGTCGTGTTAGATCGCTAATTGAATCGGAAACGTAGCTCTCAAAAGTTACATCAATCGTAGGAGCTACCTGCGTTTTCAAATATTTGGAATGTTGTACAACCTTGAAAAGACTCCTTTTTAGTGACTGCTATGAACAGTAATCAATTACATACAATTATATTACAATTATTCTGTTCAGGCTGGAGCAACTTCATCTCAAATGTATTATCAGCAGCAGCCAATAGGACATCAGCCTCAGCAGCCTCCAAGTTACCAGTTTCCTATTCAAGCTGCGTCAGCCACCACCAACATGGATTACGGGCATAGCATGGGTTCGTCATCTTTCCGGTTTTTCTGAAGAAGCAATTTAGGAGTTGTCTTGGCTATTTATTTAGCCTTTTTCTGTTTGGAGTTGCCTGCCTTCAGCTAGATTAGGCTTCTTACCCTTGATCTCTTTGAAAATGAAACAATATATTGATTTGGCCTTAAGAACTTTGTCCATTTTCGAAAAAAATCTCGCTGCGTTCGAAAAAAGTTATACTGCGTAGCTCATAGAATTGCAAGTAGTTATGGTTTTACGGGCATATTTTTTGCTTCATCGTTTTCGAGCGCATTTTGCATTCAACAAAGGCATTATGCTTTTTTGTAGTTTTTTTTTNTTTTTTTTTCAATGTGTGCTAGACGTCTGGGTTGACAAAACATCATGTGTATACTAGTTGTGATTGACCAATTAGATGGCAACAAATACACAACTTCATTGGTACTGAGTAATGTAAGAATCAGCTGTGGTGAAACTTTTTCCTGTTCAAGTAGTTCTGACAAGGCGATTAGTTCGATTATTGAGTGGGAGTTTGAGCTTTCGTTCTATTCCGCTTTTCGTTAGCGGTAACTATAGACTTATTCATTATTGTCCTAGACCTACTTATTATTGTCCTAGTTGGTCACTATTAGTCAATCCTCTGCTCAGTTGAAGCGTAGAGCTGAACATGTCGGTGTTATAACCCTCCCTTATTTCATATGCAGTCTAGGATGTCCTATGAATGAATATACTTCCTTACTCCGCAAACTTGGAACTGTTTCTCTGTTTGCGGTGTTTTGTTCGTAGTGATTCTCTTACGTCAAACTAGCAGGCGGTCCTCTTTACCTCGAACATTTCATTTTTTGAAACTGAGCCCAGTGCGGAGCCTCAAACAAGAAAGAAGAGTGTCCCATTGATCCTGATTTGAGTTACCTACCCGCTTCTCAATCGGAACACACACACAGTTTTGTCCATGCGATCTACAGTAAATGAGAAATCCATTCAAATGTTTCAAGTTCTTCGCAACTCTTTTCGGGTCCCATAAAGTCATTGTGTTAAGAAAGCAATTTTTGGGTAAGAGAATTTGAAGCTATGGCTTCCTCCTTTTGAGTTACTTTTTCCTTACAATTCAGTTCCCGACCGGGTACCTCAATTACGCAATGCCGATTACTTTCCTGTGATTGCTTCATTCCTTTACTTGCTTAGATTTTCTCTGTCGGGTAATTTGGGCGAAATATGCGAATTTCTCGATATTATCTCCAATCGTTAAGATTATGCTTTTGACTTGGTCAAGATTCCTTTCTTTTCGATTCAGTGGGTACCGCTGTGAAAGAATCCTTTGCGGAGCTGCTGAGGGAGGCATTGTCGTCGTAATAATTCAGTATTTCCCTGTAACATTCGCAAGCCCCCAATTAAGCTCCTATAATTGTACGCTTATGCTTGCATATCTGTGCGCTTGAAAATAGAACCGTGTCTCAGCGAACTGACTGTGTAAAGCTTAGCTCAAGACCAAGTGACAATGTATCGATCCCTACATGACCGCTCTGGAACTCATTATTCATCTGAGTCAGGACTCATCGAACGATAAGCCGTGACTCACCGAAGGGTGGGAGGGTTGAAAAAAGGAGCTGGAGTAAAACAGGGAGAAAGGTTTCGTTCGCTTTACCACGCAAGAAGAATCATGCATCACGTTTATCGTAAGTAGATTCACATTCTTATCATAAAGGCCTCTACGTATGTATGCACGCATGGCATGAAACAATTCTCTTTTCGTATCGGCATCATTTGGTTTTCGAGGTTTTACGATTCTCATGAAGCTTGTACATCATAGACATAGGGTTTTTGAGCTTCTTGCCATGACACTTTTACCGATATCCACAAATTATTTGTTTTGAGTAATCGAAAAAATCTCTCATTAGTTTATCCCATGAGCTGAAATTATTTCGTTTTGGTTTTTATTTGTTCAAGTTCATTTTGACTGTGCACTGGACGAGCTATTTGCAAACCCACTCATTTCCATGCGTTTGACGTATTCCCGTTCGATACCAATGACTCACTTTGGCTGAAAAGTCTTATTGCTTGTGCGTTTCTTTTTTCGAAAGAGTGTCCGTGCAAAATTTATCGTTCGCCTTATTAAGTTTAAAATCAAATTTATCGATGATTTCGCTTCACCAACCTTTTCTTTAGGTACTCAACAGTCCGGCATTTCTGGCTCGCATAATCACAGTCAGCATCAACAAGGCGGTGTGATGGGACAGGGTGTTCAACCGAGACGCGGAGTTTCGCAGCGCGGGGGGCCGCCGCCTGTCGATTCAGCGCCATCAATTCAAAATGCGCCACACATGCGTCTGTCACCACAACAGGTAGGTTGGCAATGTACGGTTTCCCGTCTAATCATGGGAGACGAGATTAGAAACATAACTTTTCTTTACATATAAATTGCTCCAGGAATTACCTCTTCGTATTGTAATCGACTCAAAGCACGTCGGTGCAATCATTGGAACGGGCGGCAATAATGTTAGAGAAATCACAAAAGAATCAAAGGCTCGCGTCGTTGTTGACGTACAGCGTACAGTCAAGGATCAGCAGGGACACAGTGAGAAAGTGAGTTTGTTGAGTGGGTTAGCTGGCAGACCACAAGATTTTCGATTCCTGCCCCTATTCTTTCAGATAATCTCAATACTTGGCCACTTGGAGAATTGCTCAAAGGCATGCGTCAAGATTCTAGAAGTCGTTCAACGTGAAAACGAGAAGGACGAAAATAAGGAGTAGGTTACAGTGACAGTTTACTTGAAGTATTTAGTACAATGTAAATCCTTCCTTCTGAACGCGTTCGTATATTCGCTGTTGGATAATATGTTTATGTTTAGCAACAGTGAAGTAGAACTGAAAATCAGAGCTCATAATCAGCTGGTCGGACGTCTGATTGGAAAACAAGGCGCAACTATCAAAAGAATCATGCAAGATACTGGAACCACTATTTTCGTTTCAAAGTGGGTTCATGTAGTTTCTTTACTGGTTTTCCATTTAACCATTACTCGTTGAGCGAACACATTGTCGTGAAGAAACTATTGCGAATAAATTAAGTCTTTGTTGTTCTGTCGTATATAAGAACGTTTTTCGGACATTCCCTCTAACTTTGTTTGGAACCGGTTTCTGTTTTCCAAGAAACTTGCCGGAGAAAGCTTTCACATCGTTCTTGTTACTGGCGTCCGCGATTGCAATTTTGGATTTGTTCTATCGTCACAATTCGATAAGCATCAAAGAGACGCCCATGAAAATAGTTGTATTGCGCCACTTTAGCGATTGAGCGCCGTTTTTAAAAATGTGTTGGATTTTAAGTCGGCAAGCGTTTCAAGTTTGTGAAAACGATCGTACATTTGAATCGATCTTCAGTGGAGCTTACTATTCGTTTCTCGTGATATTTAATGCTTTGAATTTGCATGCTGTTTTTCTGTGGATTATGATTGCAAACGTAAGATTGCAGCGAGCAAGCATCGCGAGCCGCCGAACTATCATCTATGGGTGGTTTAATGCCACCCTTCCCCGATGCAGTCCTTACAATGGAGCGCACAATTACTGTGAAAGGACCAAGTATAGAAGTGGTACGTCTCGCTAAATTACGGATTGATGAATTTAGTTAGAAGCGTAATCATATAGGTGTCTGCCGCCGAACAAAAGATCTCTGCTAGGTTACGACAAAGTTACGAGACAGATCTCCAGCACAGAGTGAGTGTTTTTTGTTTTTGTTTTCAGATGTGTCGCTTTTGAGATTTATTTGAATAAACATTAATTATTGGTTCTACTATTCACTTGTTTTAAAATGTTCTATGTCTCAGGAAGATTGGTTCATAAATCTGAACAAATATCTTAAGTTATAATCCAAATTTCATGAGTGATCTGTATGCTTCCCGTTCTTGTCCATTTAAAATTTTACTATTTTCTTCACAGATGTCCTTCACTGGGATTCCTGCAATGCCGGGCATGATTCACCCAATTGGTGATGCCTATGCAGCACTAGCTGCATCCACAATGCGTCCCATTGGAGGTCCAATGTGTGGAGTTGGTGGACGTGTAGATGTTCCCAAAACCACTCGAATGTGGGTTCCCAACTCCATGGTCGGTGCTATTATTGGTAGTAAGGTCAGTGGTTTCAGCTTCACTAACTCAGTGAATGGCATTATTTCGAATTGTTTGTTTCAGGGAGGTAATATACGTAATATCATTCGGAATTCGGGTGCAAATGTGCGAATAGAGGGAGGCGGAGAGCGTAAAGAAGCTGAACGGAAGGAGGAACCAGAAAAGAAAGAGGAGGGTAGTGGTGATGCACAGTCACATGGTGAAGGAGAAGAAAAAGCACACCCCGAGCCGCCACCACCGCCAGCTGAAGAGAGGCGGAATGATGTAAGATTTATGATCTGACGTTTACTGAGATTTGTTACTGGCAGCGTCAGTTGCATTCACGTCTGCAAGAGTTTCTTCAGGATGGCGAGCGTCTTGTTACCATCACCGGAAACGATGCGCAGCAATACCGAGCACAGTTCTTGATATTCAATCGTGTTGCGGAGCAATCGCAGCATCTTATTGACGAGGTAAGTGTTTTTTCCTATTGGTACACAAAGATGTTGGCACACGCTATTTTGGTCCAGTAAAATGTTTCGTATGGACTTGCTACTTTTTGGGTACGCTATTTATCTTTCAATTTTACCCATTAAAATGAATTCTTCCTATTTGCGGCACAGTTCGTCCATAAATCGGTTGAAATCGTTTTTCATTGTGTTAATGCAACCAACGATCAATGTCCATTATCCATTCGAAATTCAAAACAACTTGATTTGTCTGTCGCCTCTGCATGATAAATAACTAGTGTTAGCCAACAATGTTGTTACAGGTAAAACTACGAACGGAATTGACAGTCCCGTCTCGTTTAGTAGGTAGAATCATTGGTAAAGGTGGCCAAAATGTGAGGGAGTTGCAACGCATAACGGGAGCTTCCGTAAGCCTAGATTTTGACTATATTTATCAATTTACTTTTAGCATAGTCTATCGCCACAGATTTTTTTTATTCACTATAGGTCAAAATCCCTGAGGACGAGCCTAAAGTGGCTGATCCTACTGCACAAGACGAACCAAAAGAAGGTAAGGCTTAAAATCGACCTTATATTACTACCTTATTATTATTGTATTTGTAGATGTTAGAGCTCGAATATGTTGTATCTAATTGTTTCAGGTTCATCATCTCCCTCACCAAGTGATAGCGGTACGGTAGTTCGAATCGTAGGCAATTTCTTGGCCACTCAAAGCGTACAGGTTCGCATTGGACAGCTCATCGCTGATTTCCAACGCGCAACAAATCTACATGGTGATAGGCGCAAAGAAGAGCCACAAGGTATTGCTTTGATCGATTGAATACTTTTTGCCCTTTCTTGCTGCTAACCTGAGAATCTCTCTTTCTATTTCTAAGGAGTTCAGGGATAAGGGTGCGGTAGATAGGGTTTTCTGGGAGAGGAGTATAGGAAAGTATTGAGCTAAGTAGGAAGGAAGCCCATGCGGAACCACTGGTTGTATGTGGATTTAAAAAGCCAAGGGATAATGTTAATGTCAGAGTATGCATACCAACTTCAAGTGATTATCTCTCTTTTTGTAAATGGGTTTCCGGCAGCGTATAATAAAACATTTGCTTCCCAAAAGAATCTACGAAGAGCATTGCTTTTCTAAAACGTCATTTGTATAGCTCATCGTTCACTTGAGGAGCCTAGCTTGAAAGGAGGTTGTAATGTGGGTAATTGATGAACTGCGGGCAGGAAATGTCAGAAAACGAGAAAACATTGTGTGTTCCCGAGCAGTCGCCTCCGGGGAATGGATTATCGTTTGTTTGTTTAAGTTTTTTCTCCAAATGAAACCATTATATGGTTCTTACAGATCTGATGCCAACCGTATCTAAATGTTTTTTTTTGTTGTTTGTGTTGCTGATAATGAAATGACCATTCAGACTCATCCCGCAAGCAGTCACCTCCGTCACATGTGAACGGTGCCGAGTGATCGACAGATACATTGCTAAGTCGACAAAGTTTGTCTCTTTCTGGGTGAAGAGCGTACTCGTCTCTCTCTACGCGGTATTACACACGGCTCGAAAGCATTTCACCCCACGCTCATGTTTTTCGTTTTCAAATTTTTCCATTTATATTATATTGTACGTGGGGCGGTGCTTTCACCGCATGTAAGTAAGATGTTTAATATGGCGATAGGTCAGAGTCGATGTATCTGTGATAGTGGTAATTATATTCTACAGTACTCTGACATATCGCTTACCCATTAGCGTGATCTGCAACGCCTCGTCCGTCGTTTGTTCTTCTAGGTCTCTTTTTGTTTGACACACTGCAAACAGCTGCAACAATGTTGCGGTGAAGCTGTGCAGTTGTTCAGTCACTCTGGCAGTGCTCTCTACTTCATTGGACGTAGCGCTTGTCGGCACGTTCTGTGGGGTATTTATTCGTTCGTGCGCGCAGTCTCCACCGAATATCGAACTATAAAACCATCTTGATCGTTACCGTATCCCGCAAATCTTAGCCGGGTCTCTTGTTGTATCCACCAGCGATTCCAACTGTTGGTTGCGCTCGACCTTTTGTGGTGCGTTTCTCGATTCTTTTGACATCAACCGCGTTCCCTCCCAATCCGCCCCTATCTTCGCACATCCCTCCATTCATTCATTCATTCATACAATCATCAATCCAGAATCCATCTATTTTCTGTTTACCATCGTGTTACTGTTTCTGCTTGGAGTCACCAACCACCATCATCTGAATATCCATCGCTGTTCTTTTACAACTTGTCTACTTGTTTGATGCTTCGCCAATTTGTAATCGGCTCTTCCGTTTTGTCAATGTTCTGAAGTTGTATAACCAGATAAATGTCATCATCGCCCTCAACATTTGGTGGATAGGAGTGTTCGTTGTGCAAATGCGCACACTTCAACTACCAATGTTGATGACGTTGTTTTTTTTAACGCATGTTATTTAACACTTACGTAGCTGCTTGTTTTTATCACACATCTGCTAGTTTGCGATATTGGTACGCTTTTCATTTTCTGTCAGCCAGCCACAGTTGGCGGTTCATATATCGTGACGTCTCTCAACGTAATTGGACTTGAACTTTGACAACCATCAACTCTTTTTGTTGTTGTGTTTTCTTCACATTACGGAGTGCATATGTTCAGTTCTGTTACGGTTTGTGATTTGTCATATTGTCATTGTAACCGCCTTAGTTGCAGAAGGGTTAGCCGGTCCGGGATCCGTCTACAAAATCCATACACAATAACCCCAACCCTACCCATCATTTCCAAGAATACTGTGTTGCTGCCACGAATAAACATTTTAATTAACCGTTTTGTAACAGACTACTTTCATATTTGGGAAAAACTGAAGCGACCTTGTGCTTATGTTGAAGTACTACAAGGTAGTGGATAAACAATCTATCGTAAAACATATGAATGGATTGCGGTCGATGGTCGATTCTCTTATAAAGTGTAGCTGTTGCAGATGGCTATACGTGCACGATGTTTATGTAGGAATTACACCCTACACATCTCTTGATCTTCGGTGTCCTCGTAGGTGGTCGTGGAAACAGTCAGTGAGTGCTGGCGAGAAAAGGGCCCCAGGTTGGGGAAAGAGTTTGCTAGAGGGCGTGGTGTGTGAGTGTAAAGTTCGCTTACGGTACTGCAATACAGGAAATACGCCTAGTTTCGAGCTGGCCGTGTATGCAAATATACCTTTTTTTCCTGGCCAATCTTTTCAGTCCGAAACAAGCTGGAGTTCCCTAGCGGGTTGTGTAGCGACTGGTTGGTTTAGGATAACAGACTGTTTTGATTCCAGTTTTAAGAATGTTCTGGAATGAAATGGGTGCCGAAACCAATTGCCGATACAGCTCTAGGGAGTGGAGCTTAAGAGAGATTTATGAGAGTCATTACGCCTTCCCTGGACACACCCAGGGAGGCGTCACAGACTCGACGTAATTTCACTACCACGTTGAGATGTCATTCAGCTTTTAAACCTTTCAAAAGCTTTTACTCATTGACGAGTGGTATTCATAACATTCCACGGAGTTGGTTGCATGGTTTGGCAGAACTGTGAGGTGGATGGTGTACTCTTTGTCCAATCTTACTATATTTAACCGAAGGTGCTGAAGGTGAAGAATGGAACAGTGACAGGTGGCGTCGCTTTAGCTTACGGTGTCCCCTGAGTCACTTAATAACTATCACAAACGTCTGGCAGACTAGAAGTATCGACGTGTACATCGGTTGGCTCGTAGTTGATTGCATATGCTAAATATCTTTCGAACATTACTATGATACTGAATGAGATGGATTTGCACTGCGTAGTACAGTTAAGGCTTGTCGGTACTAGGCCATTCCTTTTCGTTCAGACAAGT